AAGTACAAAGCAGTGAAAATCATTAATAGGCAATCGCTCCATGGGCTGAATTGCACAAAACGCATGATCGCGCCGGCTGTTTTGGTGCGCGTTGCTGTTTATTTAGAAGGTCCCGCACCTCAGTGCTGGAGATGTCTAACCTCAAGCTAGAGCTCTTGGTCGGCTTCATTTCACTTTAATGCGTTTTTTTTTTGATTGGTAACCTACGCATTTCTGTTCGCAATTATAAAATTTTTGTGAAAGGAGTAGAGCTTGCAAAGCAGAAGCTCACTGAAACTGCAAAGGTTTGTTGGCATAGTAACAAGAAGTGCTGCTTTTGGGTAAAGTCTGCGTGCACGCATGCAATTTGCGCGGGGGGCGGGGGAGGTGAGGGGGAGGAGGGGCTGTAGCCCGTGTTATAACGAATTTAAACTGGTGTTAGGTCTGATTTCGCGAAATTTAGCTTACTAGCTGAACAAATAAACAGACCATAACATATATGTATGTAGAGCACAGCAGTGGGTAGGCACCTGTCAAGAGAACCACCTATATAAACCGGGGATGACAGCTGAAACGGCATAGTTACATCCATTCCGCAGGACAGTAGACCTTGATAAGCTTCGCCAGAAATCGCAAGAGTCGCCTAGGCAGCAGCTGCAGGAACGTCGCCACCGTCGGGACCGTTATCGCCGCAGGATCTGTTACGCCACGGTATATAGATCGCAACAGGCATCACCTGCTCACCCCCGCTGAATCCGGCTTCCCCTTCCTGTTGTATTGTTTTCGCTCGTAACCCCGGTTAGGATCAGAGGCTTGTTTTAATAAATGTTTGCTTTATTGACTGGACCGACATGTATGTACATACAAAATTTTGACAGTGCACTTGTTTTTCGCACTTGTCGTACAGAAACTAATGATTGTAATAGTAAGAGTGTAAACTGTTGTTTTGATAACTTTTTATCTACTGCAAGTTCATTCTGTGAAGGTCACTTATCGACCACATTGTTCAGGTGCCGGCACAAATAAATGGTGTAAGGAAATCGCGGTCTACAAAACGGCGTAAGCCAGTGAACGGTGTTGTGGGAAAAGAGACTGATGACTGGGCGCAGCTTTCATCTCAGATACTCTGGCAGCGAATAAAGTCTGAGGCTGATGCATATTATGCATTTTCGCTCGACGGTGAGAATATCGACGACTGCTTCTTGTCTATGGGAATACAAAAGACCTCTGTATTGCGTCGTTTTGCACAAATTGTTGGAATTCAGGTATGATTTTCTGCATTGTTTTGCTATAATCAGTTACCTTCATCACGGGCCCTTCGCGGAGAAACACCCGCTTTTATATGCTGTGCCGCAGTACTGTTTAGATTTCGAGTCTAAACGATAGTTATTTTGCTAACTGTGGTCCTTAAGGCGCCTGCCAGAATTAGTTTTGAAATGAACTAAACGCAGTTTCAGCGAACTGTGTAGAAATCGATTTGAGCACTGGTAAATTGAAAGCAGCAGTTAGAGCCTGTGAGCGAGCATCCATGCCATCACGTCAGCGTGCTATTCCTACATTTGTCACGTGAAAACGAGAACACTTTTTCAGGTGCTTTTGCGGGACTATAATTTAGAAACTGGCAAGAAACCGCAGCCATTTGTCGAAGATGATATTGTAAATCTTTATTGCGTGGTTAAACATGTTAATCCTAAAGCGCTCGATGCCCAGAGTTTGTTTGCTTCTGGACAAGTCAAAGTACAGCAGGGTATGGGTTTTCACTACAAATCCGAAGTCAAAATTTCATCTAAAATATTCACTTCTTATGTTTGTCTTTCCCGGTTCAGAGAGGGACAGTGAGGCATGCGGCCCAGTAGCGTCTTGTCTTATCCTAGAGGATGCGGGAAGGGGGACATATTTTGTTCGACGCAGCTCTGAGGAAAATCGAAGAGAAAAGTAAGAAGGAAAGCATAACTGTGGTTTGTTCGGCATAACTGGCGATTAGCAATCGGTAAAGTCTGTTTCAACGGTGCTCCAAAGCGCAGGGGAAATGTGCGCGAAGCGTCAGTAATGCATGGAATGGGATTTTTCCATTTTCAAAAAGCCTGTCTGTGGTTTGCACGTGCCAAACAGGCAGCCATGGAATTTCTTTCCAGAAACATGCCTTTAGCTTACCATTGGTTTTTCTAAAACCTTTAAAACTCAGTAATGTCATTTTTCAAAATCACTGTTTTGCGGATTAGAACAGAGATGCAGAATATCAGGTACCATCATTTATGTGGCTCGCTTTCGGAGTCAGATCACTTGGATTTACATTTAGGCGACTCATTTTAGGTCACTTACGTTCTGCATTTGATTTGGTACTCGAATCTCTGAATATCATGAATAATGTCTACGGAGCTATGCATGGTGATATGGCGGAGTGTATGCGCTTGCTGGCGCGTCTTTCCTATATTCTTGGCGATCCATCTGAAGCACTGTCGCAGCAGCACAAAGCAACGCTGATGAGCGAGCGCTGTATTGGTTTGGATGGTGCAAATACTGTTGCCGAATATGTTTGTCATTTTTTGACTTCTCTTGCCTATCATATACTCCACACATCTGTTCCAGA